GAGGAAGACAGCCATCGCAGAAGCAAAGAGGAAGTGGATCAGTCTTTTGGGCCATGATTATGTTGTTAACAATACTCAATTTATTGAGCTCTTCTTGTATGCTGGGCTCCGTGCAAAGCGTGTTGCCTGCATTACGTCATTTAACAACTCTTCTTACAAGTGTTAAGTGATAGGCACTATTTTTATCTTCACTTTACAGAAAACATTTGTTGCAGTGGTTGAGTGACTCGCCCAAAGCTGCACAGCTACTAGCAGATAGAGCCTGTATTTGAACTCAGGTATGTCTGACTCAAAAGGCAGAATAGTGGTTATTAGTGTGACCCCTGGGGTCAGAACCCTAATGCTTGGGCTTGAAACCTCACTTTGGGTGATCTCTGACAATTATCCTCTTTGTATTTCAATTTTCTCATTGGCAGAGAGGGGATGATACATAAACCCCACTGAGGTTTTAACATTAAATGGGATGAGGTATTTAAGGTGTTTAGCACTCAACAAATGTTAACTATTCCCCCTTCTCCTCTACTACTTACGTCTGCTAGGATGGTGATTTAATCAAAAGGATAATATACTAAAGATCCAGAGGTCTAAGGAAGTACAAAATGAGGAACCAGCCATAGACCCATGGTCAGACCTCACCTCAGTTGTGAAATTTCGGTTGTGACTCTATGTTCCCATCACAAAGACTGAGACTTTGTGATGCTAAATGGAGGCATCCCAAGTTTCTCCGCTATGGCATCCCAAGCCATTCTCTATTTCCAGGTCCAACTAAGTTTGCAAACCACTTGCCAAACCAAACACAAACATACATAATGGAAATTGATTCAGGAACTCAGAGTCAGAAAGGAGGGCTGGTGACAAGCCCTCTCCACCTCCTTGCTGGGTTTCAAGCACTTTCCAATCCCTAGTGGCCAGATTCTGGTCTCTTCTTTTTGGGGTTAAGCTCTAGAGAGGGCTATGATTTCCTAAAATGTGTTGGAAAGCTGGGAGATCTGTTGCAGCAGGATTTCTTCCGCTGTCTCTGAGTAACGTGGAGGCTCTGGCTGGAAAGGGCCCAGTGCGGAGCCTGGCGGGTGGTGTGGCCCTCTCTCTCCCATCAGTGTGGCTCAGCTTCCGATCAGCGCTGCCTTCCCAACCTGAAGAGGCTGGGAAGTTTTTACACAGGCTCCAAGCTGTTGATGTGTGTGGTGCAGCCCCCTCCCAGGCAGGTTGATTTGTGAATGTGCTGAACTCCAGTGTACTAGGCGGCCTAACCACAGAGAGAAGTGTTTTGTTTCTCTACCGGATACACCTGCCCAAAACGCAGCGCTCCCTCATGCTGCAGGCTCCGGTTTGTTTGAAAGATTGCACCCTCCAGATAAACCAGAGGGTACAATTGTGTGCACTGAGAACCTGTGGAGGCTGAAAAGGAATGAAATTGATTTTCTTTCCTTGGAGGGCAAGGGACAATTGTACAAAATTATTTTTCTATCCAAATGAGCATTCTTCACTTTCTTGTTAGTCCTTATTTCTCAAAGCGTACCACCAAGAGGATTTTAGGGATACGCGGACACAGCATTAAAGAGTATTGGGTCACAGACTGAGAAACTTAGTCCCTTTTTAATTTTTTTTCAATCGTTCTGGTTTTGTCAGGAAAACAATTTTCGTTTGAAGCTTATATTTTTCTCTCTTTTTTTTTAACATCTAACACTAGTTAATCTCCCTTTAAAAACACACATACACCAAATGAGTATAGACCTCAGATTTGGAGTCTTTAGTTAGATGTTATATCTTCTTAAATGCTATAATATTGCCTAGACAAAATTTGATAATTTTTTGTTGTGATTATTTTTAGGATTATCTTTAATTTATGGTAAGGGATAGCAGTTTACCATTTATTTTAGGCATATTATGTTTCTTTTTAAAATAAATGTATTCGAGTTTTAAAAATCAGTTTGTTTATTTATTTATTTATTTTGCGGTACGCGGGCCTCTCACTGCTGTGGCCTCTCCCGTTGCGGAGCACAGGCTCCGGATGCGCAGGCTCAGCGGCCATGGCTCACGGGCCCAGCCGCTCCGCGGCATTTGGGATCTTCCCGGACCGGGGCACGAATCCGTGTCCCCGGTATTGGCAAGTGGACTCTCAACCACTGCGCCCGCCACCAGGGAAGCCCCAAATCAGTTAATTTAAAGAAAAATATTAAGTAAATAATTGTACAGGTGCTATTCATAAATAGTATAAGTCATGGGGTTAGTATGTGGTGATATTTGGGTGTGGTAGAAATTGGGAAGGGAGTACACAAATATCTGACATATGAGCAACTAGGCTTTGGAGTCGGACAAACTTGGGCTTGAATCACTGTCTACCACCTACTAGCTGCATGACCTTGAGCAGCTGTTTAATCTAGTTGCACTAGATCTGTAATCTAGATCTGTAAAATCATGAGAATGTCAGTTCATTATTCACTTTAGGTTTTGTGAAGACAATGCATGAAAGGCTGTAATGCATGGTCCTGGAACATACTCAAGAAAGTTAGCCATTATATTTTATTATGATGATTATTGCCAGGAAACTGTGCTTATGTAAGCACAGTGCCTGGTACATAGCACACAGTAAAGTGTAACTGCTCCTGTAATTGCTGTTTTTATCATTAGCATCATGTGTTAGTTTGTGAGTTTGTGTCTGCTCTGAAGCAGGTGTCCACATGGGATTAGATGTGCAAGGGATTTATGAGGGGGAAGGTCTGTGCGGGTTAAAGGAGGAGGGAGCAGGAGAAAGTGGAGACAGAAGTTCTGACATCTGTGAAAGGAAGGTGGCTTGGGCTGAAGGTGTCTCAGACTTCGGTGCAGTTACAAGAAAGCTTTGGCCAGGTGGATGAGGAGTTCTGGAGTCAAAGTCGACCCCTGGAGAAGTCCCCCTTCTGTGCTCAGTCACTGGCTGGGAGCAGCTCATGGAAGTATGGTCTTGATGTGAACATGGTGGCGAATCCAGAGGGCAGCATCTGGGTCACTTATGCCCCCCATAGCAGGAGATCTGAGCAGCACATTTTGTGACTGCCGTGAAGATCGCCTCCATCTTATTCATAAAAAAGGAGCCTGTTTTCTCCAATTCATTTATCCAGTTAACTAACACCCGGTCATTGCAACCCAGAGAGAGATTAAAATTACTTCACACCCAAAACTGAAATATAATACCTGGCTAACTAATGATTTTCTTGTCTCAATGCTCAACTAACAAGCCAAACACATTACTTACTTTAAAGAGTTTATCTTGTGCACAACTTTATTAACTGTTTTGTCTTTTAGCTCTAATTTTGGATTTCAAAAGTTTTGCATTTCAGGCAGAGAGCGAAGCACATTTGATACTTTCATGCAAATTGAATCTAACAAAGGGCCTCAGATGTCAGTCCACAGATGTGTTTGGCTCACACAGTGTTTAAAAAAAATATTGGGGGTGAACATTTTAAAATTGGGAGACACATTTTTTTTTTAAATGTTGATTTTGATTTCTTCTCTTGAAAACCACAGATCTGGAACACTGAGCCTGAATTTCTGCATGACAGAATTATCTAGGGTGAAAGTGGCTGCCACTCAAAGTGGGGCTCTCCTATTTGTTTCAGGACCTACCACCCACATAAAATATGCATATGCCCTTATACCCAGCAGGCTTCGCTGATTTATGGTCCTGTCCGATCCTTTGTGCAGAGAATGCTAACTGTGCCTCAATATTATATTCTCCCCTTCTTCTATAGTGATGTTCCAGCTGTACTCATGACTGCCCATCTAGGACTACATTTCCCAGCCTCCCTTGCAGTTAGGTGTGGTCATATGACTAAGTTCTGGCCAATACTGTGCAAATGAAATGAATGTTTGGAACTCCAGATTGCTTTTAAAGAAAAGCAGGATGCCCTCTCTTGCCCCTTTTCTTTTTCTTACCAGCTGCAAAGTGGACGTGATGGTGGGAGCTGGAGCATCCATCTGATATCACAAGATGGAAGCTATGTATTGAGAATAGCAGAGCAAATAGGAGGAAACTGGGTCTCCAACATCAAGGAGTTACATACCAGCTCTGGAAAACCTATGCTCCGACTGTTACATCAGGAAAATGAACTTCCATTCTTAGGTCTCTTTTTCACAGCAGCCTCAACTCTATCTTAACTAATACAACCCTGTTTGCAATTGAGTCTGTAGCACTTGGCTTAATTGGAATTGAGGTATATAAAGGAAAAGAAAATGTATGATTCTGCAAGTTGTTTTTCCTTGTAAATGGAACCTATGTGGCCAGCATTTAATTGCAAATCAAATTTCACTGACAGCTGAGCTGGGACATAGTTTTTTTAATGGTTAAAGCAATATTGGAAAGCCCTGGCCATGTCTCACAGGCTCTGTTTGCAGGTGGTACCATTTTCTGTCTGTGGATGATTTGTCCACATGGCTCCTCAGGGGCTACTATATCCACAGCTACATGTCTCAGGTCCACAGGCTACATTCTCACCTCTTCTTCACCTCCACCTCGTCTTTGAAGGCCTCACTTGAGCAGGCAGCCCTCCCACCTTTTCTAGGCACTGCCCTCTGAGTGAAAGAGAAGTAGAAACTTCTTGGTTGGTACTGTTCTGGCTTCCAGGGGTCCAAGAGAGGCTTCTAGTAAGTGTGAAACCACTGAGGATCCTCACAGTTTTGATCTGAGCAGACCCTGCTGTATTATGTGAGGGTAAAGGGCTGTTTATGAAAATGATGTATGACAAAAAAAGAACTTACTACTCCCCAGAGGCAGGTGCCAAAAATGGCATGTTATTGTGTCCTTTAGAATGATGAATGAAAGTACTGAATGAAATTTGGGTAATAATAATGCCAAACTATTTAGTTTTCCTGTGACGGAGGTCTCCAAACTGGGACTATTTTGGGGAACAGAACAGGAGAAGAAAAATTATTGATTAATGAGCACTTAATGTGCCATAAATGTTATGTACATTTTCTCATTTAATTATCTGAAAAATCCTATGAGGTAGCATAACTCTTTTTTTCTTAAAGCAGAAGTGCTAAGAAAAGTTAACTTGACAAAGATCACACAGTTAGGAAGTAAAAAGCCAGAGTTTTGACTCTCTGGTGACCTATGTTCATTCCACATCATGCAGCCTTATGGATGCTCTAAGGCTGACCTGATCAGAAAGAGGAGATAAGCGAGATCATGGACCAAACTGCTGGGGACGGAAGTATCTGGGTAAGGAGGGTAACCTGTAATGGAGGCAGGAAAACAAGAAAAGAAAGTAGGAGAGGGACACGTTGAAAAGACTATATACCTACATCAGATCGTCCTAAGGCCTCCATGCTGTACAGAAGATCAGGATGAGTGCAACTCTCTGGGGAGGGATTACCTGGCAGCAAGATGAGAAAAATCTGAAAAATAAATTTTACTACGCTCTTTACATTGAAGGATATTGCTGATTAATTGGTTGGTGTGATATGGAGTAGCAAAGGAACTACAACTTAATCGTTAGCCAGACAGAGGAGTTAAAGTTTCTACTTATTGAAAGAACTATCCTTTTCCCACACCTGGCAGATTCTTTTGTTTGGACATATGTATCCTTGTTATTCTTTTATATGGATGCCTCTATGTCCATTCACACTGTTCTGCAAGATCAAAGGGGGAGATAATTCCCAAAGCAATGTTCTGGGACAAGTAATGCCATCAAACGTGAAGCAAAATTGTATCATTTTTCCTTTTTGTTTAATGACCTCTTACCTTCTGCCTCTTCAGAGAAATGGTTCACCTCTATTCACATTTAGTGGTAAAATATTTTCTAACAGCATCAGCAAAACCCCATTCAAAGTCAATGACCAGCTTTTTAGACATAAGACACATGCCAGTTCTGTTTGGCACAAAGTAACTACTAACAGATCTAATGTAGTTCCTTCTCTCTGGGCCACTGACGGGTGTCTGACAGCTCCAAACTCCCTCAATATTAAGTCAATTAGTTAGATGGATAAAATCCTCAGAAATGGAGAGGTTGTCTAAGATGTAGCTGTTTACATTTCAGTGGTGGTGGGGTCCCAGCCTGGGGTCCCATTCAGGCTGTAAGGAGAATGGTGTCCTCTCCCCTGTGTCAATCAGGCTCTTTCTACAGAATGAGTCTCAATTGACCGAATACCATTCTCCAGACAGGAGCAGGGAAGGATATAAATAGAAACATTGAAATGAAAAATGCATTCAATACACCTAACCTACTGAACTTCCTAGCTTAGCCTAGCCTAACTTAAATGTGCTCAGAACACTTCTTTTAGCCTACAGTTGGGCAAAATCATCTAACATAAAGCCTATTTTATAATGAAGTGTTACATAGCTCATGTAATTTATTGAATACTGTACTGAAAGTGAAAAACAGAATGGCTGTCTGGATACAAAATGGTTGTAAGTGCATCGGTTGTTTACCCGTGAGATCGAGGGGCTGATGGGAGCTGAGGCTCGCTGCCCATGCCCAGCATCACAAGAGGATAATGCTACCCTGGAAAATATCAAAATTCAGCATTTGAAATTACAGTTTCTACTGGATGCGTATCACTTTTGCAACATCATAAAGTTGAAAAATCATAACTCGAACCATCGTTAAGTCTGGGACTGTATGTAGCTGGGAACCGGAAAATACATTGCCTCACCAAGCTCTCTGACTTAAGTCTCTTGCCTGCCTTGTACTGATAAAAACAGAAATGCAACCCTCAGGTCCATGGACAACAGTTCTCCATCACCGTGACCCTGACCTAGTGGAGAGGAAGTGAAACTAATTTGGGCAAAGACATGTTCCGTCTGTCCTGTCCGTTCTTCCTGTGTGGCCCTGGGGTAGAAGCAAAGGGTTTTGCATGTTGGGCTAGAATACTAGGGAAAGAGGAAACAGTGTCTAAAGAGGGACTTTGAGGTCAGGGATAGTTCAAATATAAAAATTTCCTTTTGCTCTTTCACCTCACCTTTTCTTTTCTTTTTTAAAGTGAAGTTTCCAAGTAGAAAAGGCAATATTTGCCAAGTGTTACAGTTTACTTTATGCTGATTCGGTTCTGAAAATGAAGGCCCTCTTTACTCTGGCAGTAATTTAAAATAATAATAATGGTAGTGTATTTTAGCACTAGGTTATAGGGTCCTCATTTAATGCTGTGATAACCCTCTGAAATGGGGATTGTTATCCTCTCTTACGGATGGGGAAACTGTAAGCTGGTCAGTGGCAGAGTCTGGGGTTTACTCTTTCTACCACACCTGTCACCATAATTCTCAGGTATGAGCAGCTACTTCGTGTTAAGGTTTCTATTCCCAGCAGTCCTCGGGGCTCAACGTGATAAGCACATGTTACTCTGCTTCCCACAGGTGTGTTGTGAGGCTCCCCAGAAACTTCAGTCCCTCCTCTCTCCTGGTGCAGGCAGAACTACAGACAGCTGAATTTCTTTATCATTACCTTAGATACGATAAAAATTCCCAAAGGGAATTTTCTTCCTGACGTGGAGTTGGCAGCCTTTATTCATAAGGGATGCATTGGAATGTTCTGTCTTGGTGAGGAGACATTCTTAGAAATTGAAGACGAAGAAGAAAAGGGAGGAAGTGGGGGGAGAGCTGAAGGGAGGATGTTCACGTAGGGCCGGGAGTCTTGGCTCTTCTTCCTCCTTCTCTTTAGCTTTAAGGGTCTCTGCCTTCCTTCTCTGGGGAGAAAGCAAGGACCACTGCCTTTTAAATCAAACAGACCTTGGTTCTGTTAAAAAAGAGACAACAGGCCCCAAATGGAGTCACCTGTGCTAAGCCCACGTCATCAAACTGAAACTTAATACCTAACCTAATTGCAGTTTCAATATCCCCCAGGAATGTCATCTCAATTCCAGTTTGGGATTTTCTGGTCAGCACCAATGAAGTAATCTGCCAAGTAGACCCTTTTTCATTCCCCAAAGGAAGATGAGGTAATTGCTCTTTCCTTATCCCTTCCCTGTCCTGCCTGTAAAAGTCTTCCATTTTGTACAGCTCCTTGGAGCTGCTTTTTATTTGCTAGATGGGATGCTGTCTGATTCATGAACTGTTGAATAAAGCTAATTTGATATTCAAATTTACTCAGTTGAATTTTGTTTCTTAACAGTTCAAATCTCAGCTCTGGTGAAAACTCTTGAGGAAGCTATTTAACCTCAGTTTTCTCATCTGTAAAATGGGCTAGGGACTTCCCCCGTGGCTCAGTGGTTAAGGATCTGTCTGCCAATGCAGGGGACGTGGGTTTGAGCCCTGGTCTGGGAAGATCCCACATGCCACGGAGCAACTAAGCCCATGTGCCACAACTACTAAAGCCCACGTGCCTAGAGCCTGTGCTCTGCAACAAGAGAAGCCACCGCAATGAGAAGGCCACGCACCGCAACGAAGAGTAGCCCCCGCTCGCCGCAACTGGAGAAAGCCTGCACACAGCAACAAAGACACAACGCAGCCAAAAATCAATAAATAAATAAATAAACTTAAAAATAAAATAAAATAAAATGGGCTAATATTTGTATCTTCTTTGTTGGGTCATTGGGGAGACTGATTGCAATGTTTCTCTAAGCACGATATGCATATGGTTTTTCTGGTGATACATTTTTTAATGTAATAATTAAGCCACGTATAGATAACTATCACGCCAAACGTGTCATTTCACGGGTCGTATTGCTTAGGGCAAGGCTAAGTTAAAAAAGCAATCCAATTTAAGTCTATTTTGATAAAATATTAAACGTGTGATGTGGAGATGGCAAAACGTGGTAGGGAGGGAACCCTGGGCCAGTATGAAAGCTGCTGGGAAGTGACTCCTTCCCCACTCCTCCTGGTTAAGGAGGGCTACTTTGGACAAAGAAAACCTGGGAGACCCAGGTTGAATGGGAAGGCTGGGTTACTCTGGGGCCCTGGAGTTAGCTGCCCTGTGGAGTCCCTGGAATTTCACCTCCCACTGCTGCCCTCTCTTGGTCGTGGGCTGGCTCCAGTGTCCTGAGTACAAGTCAAAGTTGACCCAGGGCGATCTAGCACCCAGCACCCATGCACTGCCCTTTCTGGCCCCTTTCTCACCTCTTCTCACACTGCTTCCGAAACTCCCCCACCCCCATCAGTCCCACCCCACCTTGGCCTACCCTCCCCAGTGTCACTGTCTCCCCCAGATAGTCACAACAACTGCCCTTTCCCAGACTCCTTACAAATCAGCAGAGGACCTTCTGATTCTCAGGTGTGAACCACCAATGAGCTTAGCTTTCCCAGGCGACATTTGTTTTAAAAGAGGAACTGGTTTAAACTAAATGAAGTCAAATTGACAAGAAGTGCAGTGGCTGTATTTTGGGGATGGGGATCCTTCTTTGGCTCTCACCTTTCTTTATGAAACATACCCTTCTCTTTAAGTAGGCATCTAGATCCAGGAAATGAAATCCGTTCATTTCTTTCCAAGAAATTCTACAAGCTTTCAAAATAGTTTTACTGCTGGTGTAAGAGTTACATTATTTTGCTTGAGACTAACAACCCGAAATAACACTGGTTTAAAAAAGATTTTAAAATATTTCTCTCTTATGTAAATAGAGGCAACCCAGGGCTGGTATGGTGGGTCCCTGAACACCAGGTTCCTTCTATTTTGTTTTTTCACCCTCTTCAGTGTGTGGCTTCCACCTTGTGGCCCAAGATGGCTGCTCCAGCTCCAGACCTTGGGTCGGCATTCCAGTCACTGGTCAGGAAGGACGGTCCAGAGAAGGGTACCCTCTAGCCCTTTAAAGCACTCACCACCTTCCTTTACATCTTGCTGGCCAGGACTCGGAAGTGAATTCATCGTAAAGCATACTAGTAAATGTGACATTTTTTCCTGAGCACCTATGCCCTGCTAACATTTGGTATTTTATTACTGAAGAATGGGAGACTGGGTTTTGGAGGCAATTAACATCTCTTCCATAAGCCTATTCCTAGGGTTGTGAGAAATGTTCAGACCCAAGTAGGAATGGATCCCAGGACTAAAATTAGGCTCTCACAGTTCTCTTCTGCCATTGTGAAAATGCCACTGGTGCAAGGGACAATGCTTTAGACCACAGCCAGGTCACCGAGGGTCTAGTTCCAGCTCTGCTGCTAGCCAATGTCATGGCCTTGAGAGAGAAGTCTAACATTCCAGGGCCTCAGTTTCTCTAAAATAAGGTTACATAATTTGATCTCCAGGGTCCCTTCCTGCTCTAATATTATGATTTCATATAACAGTGTCTTGATGTCTGTAACCAAGCAGTTAAATAGAAAATAACATATGCTTTTTTCTTTTGTCTGTGATCATTAAATGCTGTGGGTAACTAAGGGTAGATTACCAATTGTTGGCTCCCAGGTATCCTTTTTTTTTGGCGCGGGGTGCGGTACGCGGGCCTCTCACTGTTGTGGCCTCTCCCGTTGCGGAGCACAGGCTCCGGACGCCCAGGCTCAGCGGCCATGGCTCACGGACCCAGCAGCTCCGTGGCATGTGGGATCTTCCCAGACCGGGGCATGAACCCCTGTCCCCTGCATCGGCAGGCGGACTCTCAACCACTGCGCCACCAGGGAAGCCCCCAGGTATCCTTTTAACCTTGTCATCCTTCCACAAGACTCCTTCCTGCAGGAACTAGCTTGAGATGGAGTTGCTGGCCAGGAGACCCACTTTATTTTCCATTGAGTTTTGGAAGCTGGAGAGCTAAAGCCACCGACAAGGAAATTCATGGTTGTAAAGTTTCTGTTTATATCCGGTAGTAGTGGCTGAAATTGCCCATCTCAAACAGCTGGGACAGGAAGCATATGCAGCCAATTGATAAAGAGGGTATCTGCTGTAAGCATGCTAATCTTGAGGAAATGGGGATCTCAAGGCACCTGGATTAGCCACAGACCAGAAAGGGGCCCTTTTAGTGTTCCTTTCAGTTGCTAAGACACACACTATGTTTGAAAAAACACCTCCTCCGCCACCCAGATGGAGAAAAACATAAGCTGCCATTGCTTAACTGCCTTACAAATAACCAACCAACACTAGCATCTGTGCCTTAATACATGGCTAATCTGCAAACAAAAATGCCACCTTGTCTGCTTCTTGGGGCCAGAAAGTGGACCAGTTCACTGGCTGGTCACCAGGGCTATGAGATATTACTTTTCTAGCTCTGTGTGACATAGTGGATGAGCTATACATGGCGGCAGGAAGAGGACAAAATTGGAGATCCAACCAGGAAATGAGGCACCAGTCTACATGCCTGTTGGACCGTCAGCCCCAGGGAGCCTTGCTCCTGATTTGAGAGAAACTCCCCAGAGACTGGCCTGTCTCATGAGGAGGACGGGCACTCCCACATGTAGCATCTGGAATCACATCTTCCTTTTGACTAGGATGAAGGCTCAGGGTTAGGAAGACAACTTTGCATATTTGGTGAGCAGGACTCTAAGAGGGGCCAGCAACACTTCTCTTCCGTTTGGATCTACATATCTGTGTGAAGCGTCTCTTCCTGCAATGACAGTCCTTAAAATCAACCACTGAAATAAGCTGAACCCCAGAATAACTGTAATAGAAGATGTTAAGCTAATATTTTTAAATATAATGAAGCATAGTCAATCACATTGCTCTTATCAAAAGAGTAAAATGGGGCTTCCCTGGTGGCACAGTGGTTGAGAGTCCGCCTGCCGATGCAGGGGACAGGGGTTTGTGCCCCGGTCTGGGATCCCACGTGCTGCGGAGCAGCTAGGCCCGTGAGCCATGGCCGCTGAGCCTGCGCGTCCGGAGCCTGTGCTCCGCAACGGGAGAGGCCACAACAGTGAGAGGTCCGCGTACCGCAAAAAAACAAACAAACAAAAAACCACAGTGAGGGACTTCTCTGGTGGTCCAGTGGGTAAGAATCTGCCTTCCAATGCAGGGCACTCAGGTTCGATCCCTGGTCGGGGAACTAAGATCCCATGTGCTCCGGGGCGACTAAGCCCGCCCCCCACTACTAGAGAAGCCCATGCGCCGCAACAAAGAGCCCGCGCGCTGCAACGAAGCAAAGACCCAGCATAGCCAAAATAAAAACAAACAAACAATAAACAACAACAAAAACCTCACAATGAGATGTCAGTTCACGCCTCTTAGGATGTTATTTCAAAAAGACAATAGGTAACAAATGCTGGAGTGGATGTGGAGAAAAAGGAACGCTTGGGCACTGTTGGTGGGAATATAAACTGGTGCAACCACTATGGAAAACAGCATGGAGGTTCCTCAAGAAATTCAAAATAGAACTACTGTATGATTCAGCAATCCCACTCCTGGGTATATATGCAAAGGAAATGAAATCATTATCTCAAAGAGATATCTGAACTCCCATGTTCATTGCAGTGTTATTCACAATAGCCAAGTTATGGAAACAACCTAAGCGTCTGTTGATGGATGAGTGGATAAAGAAAATGTGATATATACATATATATATATGGATTATTATTATTATTGAATATTATTCAACCTTTAAAAAGAAGGAAATCCTGCTATTTCCAGATTCATCCCAGGTATTATGCTAAGTAAAATAAGCCAGACAGAGACAACATGGTATCACTTATGTATGGAATCAAATAAATAAATAAATAAGGTCTCAGAAACAGAGGGTAGAATTGTGGTTGCCAGAGCCTGGGGAGTAGGGAAAATAGGGGAGGGATTAGTAAAAGAGTAGCGACTTTAGGTTTAAAAAAAAAAAGAACAAAAACAGAAATTCTGGAGACCTCCGTAGACCATAATACTAATTCCAGGGGTAGAGCTGTTGCTTTTGTCACCATCTGTTCCCTCTGCCAGCAAAGGTATGATGTGAGTGTAGCAGTGTAGATTCAGATCCACCACTGGGAGCCCAGCTCACTGAATATATAAGAAGTTCTGTTCACAACAAATAAGTGATAGTACGTCATCTAGTGGAATATTATCAACTCCTAAAAAGAATAGATCAATTTAGGTTGATGTAGAAAGATGTCCAAGATACAATAAGTGAAAAAAGCAAGTGGTAGAACAATGTACCGTGTCAAATAAACAAACAATATATATGTTCTTCTATATTCATAGAAAATTTCTGGTAGCAGTGGTTACCTCTAGGAAATGGTACTAGACAGAATAGAGACAGAAATTTATGTTTTAATGTACTGTTTAAATGTTTTTAAAAAAATCATAAATAGGGAGTTCCCTGGAGGTCCAGTGGTTGGGACTTTCATGGCTGAGGGTCCAGGTTCGATCCCTGGTCCGGGGAGCTGGGATCCCACAGGCCACACAGCGGAGCCTAAATAAA